TGAGCCACCGCGCCCGGCCAATGTATATTAATTTTAACAGTAGTTAGAACTGGAAGGAAAAGGCTGTTATACAGAAAAACATACAAATATGTAGGTGAAAGTGAAAAACTGAAGAATGTGGAGTGTTTACTGTTCCATTACTCACACAGATGTGCTGGATTCAGTACCCAAGCTGAATCTCCATTTATTCCACGGAGGTGGAGCTCACCGTGGTTCGAATGCCCACCAGATCCCCAAATGTCAAAGTGAAACACAACTCAATGAATTCTAGATGATTGTTTTACTTCCCCTAAAGACGTTATCTGTAAATAAGATAAAAATCTTACTGTAAATAAGATAAAAAAATCAACTGATAGGGCAAAAAAAAAAAAAAGTCTGTCAATTGTCAACAGCTGCAGGAAGACAAGCTTGTGACTCCAAGAGAACCTGCCCCGAGTCTTAGTCTTTGGAGGATCAGAGAGCTGCAGTATTCAGTCACATGGAGGTGGTGTCTTCATGTTTCAGAGGCCGCGTTCTGTAGACCAGACGTGTGCTCACCAACCTATACAAGGGTCAGGGCAGTCCCGGATGTAAGTTTCAAATTGATCTTTGGTCACATCTATCAAGGTTGTGAACACGGTCAGCTGAAAGAAAAGTTATTTTTACTTTAAGGACGTTTTCAATTCAGAGATGTTCTGATATATATTAGCATTTCTATACTTGCAGAATTTGCTTTAGGAAGTTATTTAATATTAAATAATATAATGTTAATATATGCAAAGCATGTTATATAATGTATATATTTATATTAATATAGTATAATGTAAAATTAGCTAATCATTATACAGTCTCATCAAATAATTAAAGCAACCAACTTCAACAGGATCACTGTTTCATGTAATGAATATAAAAAGAAAGGCTCAGGAAATGATCTTCAGCTCCTTACAGGAGCTTATTCCTGACAGCACATTGCTTCACCCCCAGTGCTTGAAGACTGCCTTAACCCTCCTCAACGCGCAGCTGGCAGTCCTGGGAGGCCTCCCGGTGTCCTATGGAGTATAAACCGTGGAGCTTTGGCTACCCCTATCCTTAAAGCATTTCCAATACAGTGGGGGAAACTGCAGGCACCCAGATCACAAGGCACACACCTAAACTCATGGTTCACACAAACTACGGTCACGAGATGGTGACTTGCTCAAAGATGGTGTAGGCAAAATGCCAAGTATGGCAGGACCCATGAACTGAAGGCAGGCTTCTTGCGAGAGCCAGGATGACCTGGATGCTAAAGGCCAGGAGGGATTTGTCCTGGCAAGGTGGCATGTTTACGTTAGGGAGAGCTGTGGAAAACGGCCAAAAAAAGAAGGAACACATGGCATAATTAAGGGGTCATATTCAGAACGTTCAGGGAATGACTGTTAGCAAGTGGTGGGATGATTAGGAAACTTTTTGCATTTTTAAAAATCTATAGTGTAGGGAAAAGATAAACAGATGTAGTAAAGTTTAAGGGAAACCCTAACCCACCAAGACACAGAGCTCCGTCTGAAAATGGACTTCAGACTTTGCTTTGTCGACGTTTAGGTGTTAGTTACATAGTGTGAGATTTTTAATAGATACCGATAAGAGTAAAATGCTAGACTTAATTCAGTTGCCATGTAAATAAAGCTATAAACAAGACTTGACCTATCAAGCCTCAGTGATCATTTTCTTTGTTGTATTCCAAAATAGAGTTTTAGCCACACAAAAAACATTTTGTAAAAAATCAGCCCTAAGGTGAACATAATTTCTGTGTTCAAACTGATCAAAGATAACAGAGAAAGATAAAACACGGGGCCAACTTCTTTCCCTTAAGGCAAATAAACATATAATATTTAAAATACCTTGTTGAGGACAGGTTTTGTTGACAGGACATCATACATGTTTTCAAATGAGATATTCTAAAACACACACAAAAGGTTTTGTTCAGTAAGTTA